TGGGCGCGTTCAGCAGACGCAACTGTTGTACAACTGTTGTGTAGATGTCTGCTGAACGCACTTCGCTCAGTTACCGCTACTCAACATGTTCCGGGAGCGGACGCCATTTTTCCCATTAAACTTTTTCTCCGCTACCTACGCGCAACATGTTGCGAAACAAGATGGCAGCGCACATGAGAGAAGAAAGAAGTAAACACTATTAAAATCGTGTATTATAGTATATTTTTTAAAATGAGCTTAAGAAATTGTGATACGTAAATTGTGATATGTAAATCTTGCATCTAGCAATTACCTGTCACACAAGTAAAAATATGCCAATAGAAAAGAGGGCCAGCGATGTAACGAGCATATAGAAATCTTGTATCTCTAGCTGCTTAACTTGAATAACTTCCGAAATACCGGTTTTTTCCGTATCCTCTTTCCTCGAAAGTCTATCAGCTGTACCAATCGAATCTTCCTTCCTTCCTTCCTTCCTTCAATATATGGCTACAGGCCTCTATAAGAGTAATGCCCCTACGCCAGTTTCCGATTAATGATATAATTCGAGAGCAAAGTCTTGGAAATTTCCAAGACACGATCCAAAAAAATCACAAGGTCCGAACATGTTCGAACATGTCTTGTCGTGACGGCGGTTAGGCCGGAACTTTCTACCAATCGAATCTAATCTCTGTCATATTCCAAATAAGTTGCGGTCACGTGACGAGATACACTGAAGTCACGTGACGAGATGTGAGATAAATCGTGTTCAGTCCGTTCAGCAGACACGATTTTCATCACTAAGCGCTACGTATCATTCGCTCAACCGCTGTGCAACTGTTGGGATCTGCCGAACGCGCCCATTGAAAAGAACACTTTAATGTACACTGCTTGCACTAGTGCAGCCAGTGCAAAAGAAAAGAACTAACCTAATAATAACGATAAAGCGCACGAAATGTATCCCGCGAATCACAAGACTGTATTCGTATTGGATCATACTCCTTACTTTGGAATCTCTACCGAATGTCCGTTGGAGTTTGACTTTCTAAAAAGCAGGGGCCAGAATTTGATTCCGTTAGCACCGATTTGTAAATCGCTATGGACTACCAGCGTTGAAGCTTCGTTGGAATACTGTCGTATTGTATGGGATCTGTTTCCCATAGGCAAATTGGTATATAAGAATTAACTTTATTAATATCAGTATTACAGTTTCACCATTATTAGTGTTAGTATTATCATTGCTATTTTTGTAATTTCCTATAGATTAGATTTGTGGTAACAGACCGTGCTGCTTATGTATTAAACTCATGGAGTCCGTCACAACAGAATTTAAATCATGTAAGTATCTTCTTACATTTAATTAACATGTTACAACCAGAAATACCAGAAAACTAGAAATACAGTCAATTTGTGATGTATTAAGCTAATTCTAGATTTACCAAATTGAACTACTTCAAATCTAAGAAGTGATTATAAGTTCTTAACCCTGTGCTGACAATGTGAAGTTGTGGAACAAAATCTAGCAATGTGTATTTGGGTGGGATCCAACCCCAATGTTGTCAGCAGAGAGTTAAGATTAAAATTAGTAATATTTATGTACTATATTCAAAGTAAAATCTTTTATCTTGTTTAAATAATGAGTCAATAACTGTATTTGTGACTTTAGCTGCAACTATAGCTAGAATAAATATGTAATTGTTAAAACAAATATCTGTATTGATATATGTTCTATAATAAAAAAAATAATCTACTTTATACAGATAATGAATGGGACCGCAATCTTGGGAGTGCCAACAAAGACACCAGAACCTGGAGAAGATTATTCAGTGGTACATGGCTTACGTGTAGCAATTGGCACTCTAAATGAATGTTCTGATATACAGCATGAGAAAAGAACATCTTTAAATGAGAACACTACTAATCTAATAAACAGAGGCAGAGTTATATGTATCACAAGTGCACGTGACGATAGTAATATGAAGAGCTTGGAGAACATATTCCTAAATGAATTGGCACAGGAGAATAAGACTGCATTAGCTTCAGATCAGTCAGTATTTATATAATTATTTCATTGAAGTGTCATACTTTATCACAATATAATGTTATTACATTTTTTGTCTCACAGCTTGATACCCATTGATTACTGTCATCTGGTTATATTAAATATATTTCCCAACAATATTGAGCCACAAGTCACTAGTCAAGGTCCACGAGAGGTATGTTTTTAATAACGAATCAATATTCAATTTTATCCGGAATGTGTTACAAAAAAATTGTATATAAGAATTAATATTCTTAATGGAGTAAATTTTCTTTTGTAGATCTCACCATTGCTAACGGTAGAAGTGCATTCAATCAAAGCTTCAGCGCTTTACTCCAAGTTATCACATCTTATTCTATCACATTATGACCTTGCCAGTACTACAGTAACTGGTATACCCATGAAGGAAGAACAAAATGCCAGCTCATCAGCCAACTACGACGTTGAAATATTCCATTCTTCTGCTGCGCACGCTGTGATATTAAGAGGTATGCGCTATCGGCGTTTTATTAAAAAAATAAGTAAATGTGTGATAAGTGATGTTAACTCTCTGCTGACAACGTGAAGTTGCGGAACATATCCAACGTGTGTTTGGTGACCCCAACGTACGTAGATCCTCTACCGGAGTTTATGGTGAAGCAGGAGCTCACTGCGGGAGAGGTGCTGCAATGTAAGCAACTGTTATCAAATTTGCGACAATTGGAAGTGTTATCAAATTTGCTACAATTGGAAGAGAAGTATGTGTCATTACCTTCGTCGAGTGCTAATCATAGTGCTAGTCGAGTGCTTCCACTAGTCATAGTGGAAAGAGCATGAAAAGAAAAGAACACTGTCACCTGTTATGGGAAGAGATAGAAACGTTTTTGAGACATCATGCAAAAAATTCAGACGCACATATGGAAATACTTGAATATCTGTTGGATATTAGAAGTACAAACAATAAATACAGAATGGAGGGTGTCAGCTTTGTTTTTCGTAAAAATTCTTACGAATTTGTCGAACAGCGCAAAAGATTTTAAGAATCTGAGGATCTAAAAATTAATTCGTTACAGTTTTGGAAAAGATGGAGTGGCAGGGCGAGTAAATTTGATCAGAGCGACGACGGACTCGCCAATGTCGCTAAACGGCAGACTCAATAGTGACGGTCTCAAAGCAAAATTGTATCGTAATCTGAAAGAAACCGGCAGAGAACCCAGGGGCGAATAATCCGGCCGCACATATGGAAGTACTCGAATGTCTACTGAATATTAAAAGTAAAGACGATAAAACGGATAAACGAATCTGACCCCAACGTTGTTAGCAGAGAGTTAACAATAAGTCATAATTGTGAAATTTTAAGCGTCACGTCGCGAGACACTGATAACAAAATTTTTACTGTTTTTCTTAATAGGAAATCCGCAAGATTCGGCGTTGATAAAGACTTTTAGACGTTTCGAGGAAGGCTCAGAATATGAGACTGTGACGCTCAAGTGGTGCACACCGCGTGGTTGTAGCGCATCGGAGATGCAGAATTGCACAGCGATGTATCGGATTACACCTGTGGACGTCAATAGCAGGCCATCTTCGTGTTTAATTAATTTTCTTCTAAATGGCAGATCAGTGATGCTTGAAATGGCCAGGAAGACTGGTGGGAAGACTATATCTCATTTGTTAGCAGCACACGGTGGCGAAATTTTCATTCACACTCTGTCCACTGCTAGGAGTGTTCTCGAAGATCCACCTTCTATAAGTGAGGGTTGTGGTGGCCGTGTGACTGATTACAGAATAACCGTAAGACGCTTTTTATAATCACTCACCAGGAAATTACAAAAATTACTTCGTTAAAAGAAATATTTGATTGGTGCGAATAACTTTTTCTGTTAAATTTTTGTAGAAGAGTTTGGATATTTGAAGACCAAAATAGGAAGTTCTCGTTAGATATTTAGAGAAGTTGTCCACGCTGTTTATTTTATTTGTAGCAATTATTAATCCCGTCAAATCAACTATAATTTCTTTTTCTATTTTATTTGATAAACGTGACAAACTTTTTGCACCAACTTAATATATTAAAATTACTTAAATTTTTTTTCGGTATTGTGTACGATACAATTTTCTCAATTCGATAATATTTTTCTTTGTCCCAGGATTTCGGCAATCTCATGCGAAGCAACATGCTAGTACCACTAAAACGCTCTTCCACTGAAAATACGGATGGTCCGGTGGAAAAGATGAGATCCAGACTAGAACGCTATACCAAATATTGGCCTATCGCTATTTCCAGCACAATCATGTTAAACATAAAACAGGTATTTGTATTCAGACAATTATAATTTATATTATTGAATATACAGGGTGTCCCGCGTAAGACGTGCTAAAAGAAAAATATAAGTAGAACAGATAAAAGTGAATAAAAATTGTAGAAGTCATTTTTCAAACAATCACGTAAAATTTCGAGATATTAATTAAAATATTTGGACATATCAGAGCGCGGCGACACGGCAGGCGGGACATACGGCTCGCCGCGGCCGGCGAAAAAAATGGACAATTGTTCGCGGGCCTATCTTATAGGCCAGAGAGTTGGGCCGTTTGGCACACGGAAATGAGTAGCTCTGTGTGCGTTCGTGTATGTGTGCGCTCGTCCATTTTCTTCGCCGGCCGCGGCGAGCGTATGTCCCGCCTACCGCGTGCCGCGCTCTGATATGCCCAACTATTTTAATTAATATCTTGAAATTTTACGTGGTTATTTGAAAAATGACCTCTACAATTTTTGTTTGCTTTTATCTGTTCTACTTATATATATTTTTTTGGCACGTCTTACGCGGGACACCTTGTATATACCATTAACAAGAAAAAAAAAAATATATATATATATGTTAATTAGAACTCTAAAATTTTATTTTTTATCGACACGTTTAAAAACGATTAAGCATAATGCATGTTTCTCATGCGCATGATTTCTGACATAACTTTAATAATAACTTTTCATAGCAGTACGTAGATCCTCTACCGGAGTTTATGGTGAAGGAGAAGCTCACTGCGGAAGAGGTGCTGCAGTGTAAGCAAGTGTTATTTAGTTTGCTACAATTGGAAGCGAAGCATGAGCCATTACCTTTGCCGAGCATTGGTCGTGGTGGAAAGGGCATGAAAAGAGAAGAACACTATCGCCTGTTATGGGAAGAGATGGAAACTTTCTTGAAACATCACGCGAATAATTCGACCGCACATATGGAAGTACTCGAATGCCTACTGGATATTAGAAGTAAAGACGATAAAAATAAAGTGGAGTTGGACCAAGCCCTGCGAGAACTCGACGGGTAACTAAATGATTATATATTAGATTACCTGATAAGTTCGTAGGAATTTTTTACTTTTTTTTTTTACTTCTTCGTGATAGCAGATCATTGAAAAAGGGAAAAAATGAAGCAAAGTTGTGTCTGACTATGAGGGTGTCAGCTTTGGGTTTTTCGTAAAAATTCTTACGAACCTGTCGAACAGCTAATAGATTTAGACGTTTAAGAATCTGAGGATCTAAAAATTAATTCGTTACAGTTTTGGAAAAGAAGATGGAGTCGCAGGGCGAGTAAATGTGATCAGAGCGACGACGGACTCGCCAATGTCACCGCCGGCGAGCACGATGCCCTTGAAGCTATCGCACAAAGGCAAGAGCTTATTGGACATCTGGCTGGAGCGTAGCGCGCCGAAGAATCCGAGGATGGAATTTAACGGCAGACTCAACAGCGACGGTCTCAAAGCAAAGTTGTATCGTAATCTGAAAGAAACCGGCAGAGAACCCAGGGAACCCATCCTGGAGGCTTAATTTCCCAACGGGGAGAAATGTCTAGCTAAGTGACGAAATGATATATCATACGCAACGTACGCATTGTAAATATAAACAATTTTCCATCGGCGATACTTGCGGATTGAACCAGGACTGTTAATTAAAATCGTTGTATATAGGACACACTCGGTCAACTAATATTTACATTGAAACGAACATCTCGCGATACGACAAACACGTACGCTTCTACTTTTCTCACCTTACTACGTAAAATATTTATGTAAAATATTTACATTTTCTAGTTTATAATACACCTTTTATAACAAAATTATAAGTACAAATATTTCATGATGGTCCTAATTTTGTGATAAAGGATATAAATTTGCAAGATCATGTAGTCTTTCATGTTCTATGTAAAGAAAATTTTCAGAAATTGACTAGAACGAAAATTTTCAGAAATTTAACCAGAACGAAGAATTGTTTTTAGTTTCGTTTCGAAAGTGCAAAAGAGAAATTTGGAGATACAATTATTCGATTCGAATCAGTATCAATATGAGCCACCTCGATGTCGAGGCGAAAGCACATCTGCGTGTAAAAATACATGGGACGAAAGCATGGAATGAAAGTAGTACATTATTCTTACCATCTCCCTGCGTCGTCCTGCCAGTCACCTTTCCTCACTGCTCCGCTACTTTGTAGCCGACAGCTACTTTGTCTGCCGAGTGTCTGAGGCTATGACGCGGTACATCGACCACTATATAAACCTATAATTCACTTTAGTGCCTTACCCTCTCTTCCCGTACTAATCGATAGATGGCAGGACATTAAAACTGAGAGGAGGAAGGAGTGGAAACTGCTTTGCTCGTGAATCAGTGTGACGCATACACGATCTCTCAATTTGAACTGATGATTTTAGAAAGAGAGAGACAATCAAAGGAAAGTTTCTAATATGAATCTAGGAATTAAAAAGTTTAAAAATGTGACAAAAACATAAAAAAGGCAAAATTAACACTCGAGCATTCCAAATCTAGAAATGCGGAGAGTTAAGGATCCTTGAATTTTATATATTGAGAATCAAGAATAAAAAAGGATTCTTTATAAAAAGTATCAAGATTACAAGAGAGAGAGAGAGAGAGAGAGAGAGAGAGAGAGAGAGAGAGAGAGAGAGAGAGAGAGAGAGA